TCTCTCTCTCTCTCTATCTCTCTCTCTCCATAGACTGCCTCTCAGTTGGCCTTGAACCAGTGCCAGAAAAGGTGGGTGTTTAAAAGTGGAAAAAAGAAGAAAACAACAAAATAGTGACGTTGTGTTTTATGGTGACTGATGAGTCTCTGTGTCCCTGCCAGTGTCAGGGAAAAGGAGGAGAGCATAAAAACTGTGGAGGACCTGCTGGAGAAGGGGTTGATTGAAATGGCCAACAAGGACGAACAGCTGAAGGTGTGTGTGAGCCACATCAGCCTGACATCAGATCCCAGTCCTTTGGTGACTGTGAATTTGCCTGTCTGCCTTGTAATCACAATCTCTGATAGGGAAATTTTAAAAAAAAAAAAAATCATTATTTCCTGATTTTACAGATTGCAATAAATGAGAATGAAACACTGAAAGAAGAAATGGAGAGACTTAAAATAAAAGCAGCAGAACAGGTGAGTTTGGACCGAATGGATTTCACTCATCGTGAACGTTTTTATGGTCTGTACTTATTTTATATTCTGTTTTGTCTAAAACCCAGGCATCGACAGAGTCGTTAGTGGAAGAACTGCAGATCAAGTGAGTCAAACTGTCATCGCATTTTTAAATGTAGAGAAAATATGTGAGTGATGTTGAACTCTTAACTGATCAGAAATCACTAACAGGTGAGAAAAAAAAATGACAAAAAAACATGTCTCAACACACACAATCAATAAATATAAAAATAAGTGCAAGAAAGCAGAACAGATACATAACTGCAAATCACAAGATACATGTGAATATAAGTATATATTTGTATTCATGTATATATGTACATATATAAGATTATAATAATGGAATCGATTATACAACACAGAGTGCGAGAAAGACAATACTACACAATAAAATAATAATAATAGAATGTTTCTTTTTGAAGAATCTGAAACCAGTATCACTCAATGTCGATACCTATGTTTACACCAATATTATTGATATTTTGGATCAATATGCCCACCACTAATGGGCAGCTCTAGTTAAAAAAAAAAAGCAAACAATAAAATATCTGTTCCAATAACATTGTGCAATCCTAGTTTTTAATTTGTCATGATATTAATGTTTTGTTTTTTTTTTAGTAAATCTTCTAATTCCTTGTTACTATATTGGTGGGTTTTAATATAATCCCTATCACTCGCCATTTGCAGGATCCAAGAGAAAGATGTTCATCTAAAGTCAGTGGAGGAGAGTCTACAGGCAGCACAAGGCAACATCACGGCCAGAGACCAGACGGTGGAGGTGAGAGCTTTTCTCTTTTGAACACGAGAGAATCAGCAAACCACAGATTCTTCAAGTCCTTCTGTGCTGGAGTCGACTCTTGCCTGAAGCACTTTTTGTCGTGGCAGTCTCTGGAGCAACAGTTGGCCGCCCTGCAGGCAGACATGGAGCAGCTGAGACAGAAGGCGATGCCAGAGGAGCCCAGCATTTCTGCTTCTCACCTCCAGGAACTCCAGGCTCAGTGAGTGAATACAACATGTCACCGTGTTGTCCTGCAGTGTGATCCCGACACTTTGGGTTAATGACGAATACATCTTCACCCACAGATGGGTTGATAATGACGAATACATCTTCACCCACAGACTTGCAGAGAAGGACCAGGCAATCCAGGCTCTGCAGACTGAGCTGGAAGTACGGACCAAGGAGGTGAACGAGAAGATGGAACAGGTGAAGAAAGAGTTTTGTTTTTTTTTGGGTCAGAATTTTATTTAATTATTTAGACTACTAAAAAAATACTTTTAGATTTAAATTTATTGTTAACACATTTTTTTTCTTTTTTTGTTTATTCAGCTGTCTCGTACACCAGAACCTAGCCCAGATCTTCTTGCAGCGTAAGTAAACTAAACTGATTCATACAGACATTTACATGTTCAAAATGGCTGTTTATGACATATCTTTAATCAACATGTTGATGTGTATCTAACAGGTTGTCCGAGAAGGACCAGCAGCTGATGGAGCTGCAGGCTGAAGTGACGGAGCTCAGAGACTCAGTGGAGCATCAGAGGGAGAAGAACGACGTAGGTTTTTCTCAACACTTGTCCTCTCGACCGACATTTACCAACTGTCTGCTCTGGTCTTGTTTTTGTGAGGTTTCATCACTGGCTTTTTTTTTTTTTATGTAGTAACCCCTTGCACCCCCTCCCCAAAAACAACACCCTGCACTATTTACTGCATCCCTACTCCCCCTCGTCCTCTGCCACTGTAGCCTCACCCGCTTTGCTTGGCGTTATTTTTGAGCAGATCTATTAAACCAAAGTGCAGACATGTTCTGCTGCCCCTGCAGCCTGACTTCATACATCAGATGTCTATTTTGATTTGGATGGTGTAAAAGCTGAGCGTTGCATAACAGGGCTTCCAGCCTACTCTTGTTACGCTTGCCGTAGGCCATGACTGTTTCAGCAGGCTGGTCTGTGCTTGTGGTGATTCAGAGCATTAGGAACTTCTCCTTATTGTGGAAAGAGGCGCAGTAGCTGTTAAAAGATAACAACATGGACCGAGTATCCTCACTCGCACGTCCACCGCTCACAGCGTCGGGCTCGAGGCGTGAGACTGGGACTTATCAGCATATGGAGTATGGGTGAAAAACAGATTGTAGTTCTTTTATGAGCTACAAAACAAAACAAAACATTTCGTTTGTTTTTTTGGTTTTTTTTGCTCTACTGGTCTCATGTCTATCCCCCTCCCCTCGAGGCTGAACTAAAAGTAGTATCTCTCTGAAACTGACCAAAACAGGAGCTACGGAAGAAAAACTGGAGTGCAATGGAAGCTCTGTCATCCACCGAGTCCAAGCTTCAAGGGAAACTCAAAGTTGTCAAGGTTCGACTCCCCACCTCAGTCTGCTTCACTCTGGTTCTAATCTGATGCACCCCCCCCCCCAATATTTTTTTTTCCCTCATTGACTTCATGAGATTTAGTTTATCAACCTTGTCCATAACCACGTCAAGCTGAATGCTCATTCACCACTCCCTCCCTCGCTCTCTCGCCCCTCTCTTGTCCTTCTGTTTTTTTTTTTCGCCCTTCATTCAGCTCTAATCTAGACTCTTATAATGTAATGTTGTTTTGTTGAGTTTCTGAATGTGACAGCTTTCAGCCAAACAAAATAACCAACTGATGGCTTAGAAATGAGCGTTGACGCCTTACAGTGATTTTTGGCTTAAACTCGGGGCTGTGCCATGTGGCAGTGTAAATGTCACAGCAGGAAATATGAGCTTTTTTTAGTCGACACTGAATTCATGAGAATTTCATTTGAAATGTGGAAGGGCAGGACAGAGGAGAGCAACCAGTGATAGTGTGGTTGGTGGGTGTGGTTAGCTTTAAAGGTATAACAAATATAATCAAAACAAATTCTAGGAGGGGAAAAAAATGTCTGAGGTCGTCAAAAAATGTGTGATGTCGAAATGGGTCACAAGACAAAAGGTTGGGAACCACTGCCATAAACTATAATATGGTGAAGATTTTTTCACTTCCTCAGTACTAACATGATTGCACAAATTAAAGCACTTTTTTTTTCTTACCGTTACTCAACTGGATGCTGCAACCGCTTAAGTCAACAGTTCAGGAAACTTTTTTTTTTTGCAATGTTGTTAGCTTTTCATCGATAGCCTAGGAGTGAGGAGGAGAAAGGAAATGTACTTAAGTCGAATCGCCCAGCCCTAGAGAGATTAATGGATCTCCTTTTACAACTTCCTGTGTGTGCCATGTGACTCATTTCATACTGCTGTGTGGCATCAACTCCGCAATTAATACACGTTAATGAAAAATCAATTTAAAACCTGTTGATCTACCTTTGATCTAAAAGCAGTCCCTTGGAAGGATGTGCAGTGATTCATAGCTTAAATGCATCGGTTTCTCAATGCTCTGTCTTCACATCTGAAACTAAATGTTGTTAAAACCACAGGTTTGTCCATGTAGAGTTAGCTGTCAGATAGCTCTTCTGTTAAGCATTGCAGTGACGTGTGTGTATTTTTGCCTTCCTCCCCCATTAAGAGGGAAGGCTACGTGCCGAACTATGAGTGGAGCAGCTGCTCCCGTGCTACAGGAGTACAGTAGAAATCACCTCCTCTGAGCTGAGCCGGGCTGTTCCACAGCAGCTGTCACGCACGGTTGGTGCACGCTGCTCGGTTGCACTCGGCTCCACACTCGTCACAGCTGCCTCGTGACTCGGTGTCAGTGTGAACGGTGCGAAGTGCCAGCCGTCTCGTGCCTGGCAGAACGTCTCCCTGTAGGCCTCAGTGTGACACTGCATGTTGCTACTCTGCTGTGGCAGATGTTTGATTTGCTTTTGATTTTTGCATGAAGGATTGACGTGATTATCTAGAATAAAGGCAAAGGGTTGGGGTCACATGACCGCTGAACCTCATCTCCAGAGTAACTTTGGGTTTTTCAATGTTTCATCTCTCCCTTTTTTTTTTCTTTTTTTTTTTTTTTGGCCCTCGCCCCATCTCCTTGTAGGAGAACCAGACAGCACTGGAAATGTCCAAATCTGAGTGTCGAGATGTTTTGCACAGACTCCTGCCTTGTGTGCCTCTGCCCACTGAACAGGTAAGGGATTCTGTTGTATTCTTTAAAAAAACCTTTTCTACAACGTGTCATTCTAGATAGGACTGTTTTGATGCTATAATCCTACCATATCATAGAGAGGAAATTAAATCACAAATTAATTTTTTTTCCTAGCATAAATTAAAAAAAAACTTCTAATGGGGGCCCGCCCCCCACTTTGTGCACCACTGCAATAAAACCTAAAGTCTTAGATTTTGTGATTCACTTCAGTCTTTATCTTGACTTCATAACAGTATTGTGTAAAGAAGTGATCATCAATTGGCGGCCCGCAGGCCAAATCCGGTCCACCACACTGTCCAGTCTGGCCTAGGACTGGTAATCAAAGGGAAACTTTCATGTGGTCTCAACTATAAACACAACTGAAAAAAGAACAACTGAAACTTAAATAACTAAACTCTTTACATTCTGTTAGACAAAAATGTGATTTTTCGGAATTATTTCAGACAAAGAGAACAACGTTGGCCAGTAAAAACACAAAGTCTTTTTCTTTGTCCTCCTGTCCACCTGACGACACGTCTCTTCTTCTTTTTTCCCCCTTCCTCACAGAACCATCAGGAGTGGCTCGAAGCGTTTGAGAAGGCAGCAGCTGAAACTGCAGTTCCACAGCCCAACCCTGCATCAGGGGACTCCGTGGTAGGAAGAGAACAAGAAATAAAGTCCAAGACAGCACCATTCTACTGTTGGTTTGTTTTTTTAAACTCTTGGTAATTTAAGAAACTCTACTCCACCACCAGGGGCTGGAGAAGAAGCTGAAGGATGCTGAAGAAACACAAAGGATCCTACAGAAAGACTGTGAGACGTACAAGAGAGTTTTGGCAGAGACGGTGAGACCATGTTGTTTTGGGTTCATGTTCACCCTCAGGTTGCTGTGTTGCTCACATGTCCATGGCTGCTATGCCTGCTTCATCCATAGGAGGGCATCCTGCAGCGCCTTCAGAGCAGTGTGGAGGAGGAGGAGTCTCGCTGGAGGGTGAAGCTGGAGGTGGCCCAGGGAGAACTGAGAGATGTATGTAGGAACCATGGGCTGGACCTCCGTCTGAGGTGAAGTGTAAATGCTGATTCTGTTTCTCTGCCCACAGATGAGCCAGAAAGTGGTTGTTCTGGAGCAGGAGATTGAAAGATTATCTGATGGAGCAGAGTTGGAAAATGTCAGTCCTCTTAAAGACCACATCAAACACTCTTAGAATATCTTTGAAATCCTTCTCTAACACCTCTGTTATTAAACGTGTTTATTTCCTTCAGCTGAGAAGTGAAAAGCAGCATTTGGAATCTGAGTTGGAGAGGGCAGAGCGTGAGAGCGCCATCTATGTGACGGAAGTAAGAGAGGTGAGAAAAAAAAACAGACATGTTCAGCTTTTGTGATTCATCACCCTCTGTCATCACATTATTCCTCTGTGGTCAAGGGATGAGCTGTGTCATTGGTCGGATGCATGTTCACGTGCATGTTCGTTTTTGTCCGACCCAGTCCTCTGATTATGTGCATGTTCGTTTTTGTGTTTTTGTCCGACCCAGTCCTCTGATTATTATGGCGTGATGTTATGGAGTACAAAAATCACGTTGAATGACACCAATATCGTGATGTATCGTGGATGAAATGTATCGCAATATGACGTTTTTTTGCAAAATCGTGTGCAAAATATTATAATAGTATTGTATCGAAATGTACTTGCCAATACGTAGCCATACTCTGTACTACCAAGTAATTACACTATTTATTATCATTATTAATTTGGATGCATACAGTACACTTCCAGATTTATGCAACTTTCCAACCCTGATAATAAGAGACATCATTACAGGGTGGAGCTCAGGTGTTTCCCTCTACTGACCGGTTCTGTGACGACATTCTTAACCTATTTCAACATTTGCTAAACAAGGGTTAGCCTATAATCATTAGACTCACAAATTATTAGGACACAACCACTAAGAAGTGGAGTCACTCATGCTGCTCCTGCCAGCGTTCAGTACCGCAGCAAAAAGTTGTTTCACAAATACTTCATGAACATATAAACGACCAAGTCAGGGAATCTGTCCCACAACCCCAACCTGTACTACCTACCGAGCTACAATATCTTCTTACAAAGATCATTGTTTGAAGAATGTTCTGTTCTCCAAGGTTTACTTTAGACTAATTTGAATGCACTTGAACTTTCAGTCGATCCTGTTGAACTGGTTGCTACGGAGTGTTGACGTGTTGACCTTAGCTTATTCTGATTACATATAATGAGTGTTTGATTTGGGGAAATTCCCAGCAGTTTGGTACCAAGTGCTCAACGGTTCATTGTCAAGACATTTATTTTATTAGAAAAAAAACAAACAAACAACAACAATACATTATGTATTTTTGTGCTTCCTGCTGCGGAGGCCGTCTCAGGGCCTTGAACACACGATGGTTCGACGTTGTGGAGCGTGATCTCGTAGTGCTGTCCTAGACTGCCATCTACAGACTCTCCCATTAAAACCCAGCATCTCAAACTTTTCAGCTCAAAGATCTGTTGACTGAATTGCAGACCAGACTTGATGGCTCATATACAGAGGCCACCAGGCAGAATGAGGAGCTGAGTTTGGTAAGAGTTGCTCTCCCTTTAGATCTAGAGCTCCTGTATTTTTCACTCAGCACTTTTTTCACTGACCGCGGTGAGGGGAGCGGTGGCTTCTGTGTGGGTCATCCTCTATAACCGGGGTCTCAAACTCAAATGAGCTCAGGGCCACTGCTGCCGCCATTATTATTCATGAAAGGACCACCGGTGTTTGATGCTCATAAAGAAAATGTATATAAATGTTGTGTAATACAACAATATCAACTAAAACAAAATTAATTCTCCTTGGCATTTTTTTTTCAACATACACAGGCTGCCACAAGAGGTGCCATTAAGTATGTGGTTCTGCTGGGGCTTGAACCCAGGACCCTCTGTATGTGAGGCAGGCGTGATAACCGCTAACACATTATCACACTTTGGAACCACAAACAATTTAATCAATAAAAAAAAATCTACCTCTAGGGCAATATTTGATTTTTATCGACATCTAGTGACGCACGGATGTAAAAGGTTCACGGGCAGGAAGTGGCCCCTGAGCCAGGAGTTTGAGACCCTTGCTCTATAACCTTTAATAAGTGAAGTAATAACAGGAGTCTGTGGGTGATGAGTCACGTGTGCACTTGGTGAGACTAACGAGAATTAGCACTTTTTTTTTTTTCACACTAACCTTTTCCGTTTCACTCTCATCTACAGCTACAGCTCATTAGTCGACTGCTGCTGCTGTTGGGCTACAACACTGTTTAGCTTAGCTTAGTGCCCCCCCGACCCCCCGCTGTCGTTTATCTCTCTTGTCCTTCCATTGTGTCAATGTCATCATCGATCAGTTACATAACATCCAGATCTGCTGTAATGTTCTGCAGTGACATGTTTGACAATTAGCTTCAAACTAAAGCGCCTTCCTGGAAGCTCATTTTCAAACATCAAGCGACGTCTTGATTGTATTCCAATTAAATTATGAGTCGTTAAAAAACAATTTCAAAAATTGGCTGCAGCTGTGCTAACTCTTCCCACCTGTACAAACTCGTTGTGACGTGTCATAAACCACATGTGCTGCAGCGGGGTGTGTCATGCTGTGTCACGTCGGCTTCAGTCTGGACTTCCTGGATTGTTAATCATCTTCTTATCAGCACCTGACGTGACATGCCCACACCAGCACTCACTCTATACTTTATATGTTTGGTTCAAAAACAGCCAAGGTTTGAATATTGAAATAACTATCTAGAGCTTCATTGTCAGTCGGGCAGACGGTGTTTTGAATGGGGGTTCATTTGCATTGACGATGGCTTCTGTGAGTGTCACAGAAGGCCACGGTGCTACTCTAACCTTCCTTTTACACTGCAGCTGAAAACCCAGCTCACAGAGACTTTGTCCAAACTGGAGGCGGAGGAGTGTGAGAGACAGCAGGTGGCCGGTGATTTGTACAAGGTGAATTTGATTTATTTTTATTTTATTTATTTTCAAATGTCAAATAATAACAGTTAACTTCAGACCACACTGGTTGTTAAGTCAAATGTTTTGGTTCCTTTCACAGGCCCAGCAGTCTCTAGATCTGATTCAGGGAGAGCTTTCAAACGTGACGGACAACGCTGATGATCTGATAGAGAACGGCAGCCTGTCTTCACAGAGGGTGAGAATCTGGGGCGTTTGGGGTTTTGGAAAAAGTTGTATTTTGTGAGTACAAATAGTAATGTACTTTTTTTCCAACTGACATTGAATAGTGATTACAATTGGTGAAAACTGCTGATCAGACGCCCAGTGTCTACTGACATTAAAGCACATTGAATAGTGATTACAATTGGGGAAAACTGCTGATCAGACGCCCAGTGTCTGCTCTGCCTGGTGCTGCTTTTCTTCAGAGAAGATCAGCTTCTGACTGCTAGAGAGGCTAATTGGGCTAACTTGGTGTGCTAACGCTAATAATTCCACTTTGCAGCTCCATGTTGAGCAGTAAAGGTTTAATCGGACCATTTACACCATTTTTCAGGTGTTAGTATGTTAGAGTTGGTGTGGCACAGTGTCACCTACAGGCCTGACATATGTACTACAGCGACACTGATGCTATGAAATCAAATGTAAAAAAAAAAAAAAAGAGCTCAATTTACTACTTTGGCTTTTTAATTATTATAAATTTTAAATATTATAAATCCAGTCTGTGTAAGAGTGTCACATGACCAGGGAGTAACGCACAGCAAAGAAGCTCCGTCAGTATGACTGAGGTTTAACAGGCTCTCCTTATCTGACAGGAGGAGTTGGACAGGAAGGAGAAGATGACTGAAGGACTGAACCAAACAGTCAGGGAACTGCAGGAGCTGCTACAAGGCGTCAGTCGTCAACTCAACAAGCGACAGGAAATGGTAAGACAGGAAATGGTAAGACAGGAAATGGTAGTGATGGACGCGTTTACCACTTCAATAAGCAGTATTTTAGGGTGAGATCTTGACTCGGTCTGAATACTCTTTTATTGTTATTCTTGCAGGAGGCTGAAAAAGATCTACCTACAGTATAGTGAGAGGAGGAGACAACCCCCTGCCCCCCCCGTCCCCCCACCACCACCACCACCACCATGCAGCCAACATGACTGCACACCAGAGACCAACTCTGACTCCTGGTCTTATCACCTCCAACCTTCACACCCTACCATCACTCCAAGCCACCACCCTTCTCTGTGCTTCTGTCCACTCAGCGGTACTGCAAGCAGCCTCTAACTGACTCTTGGCCCCGGCACTGGCAGCGAACCCACTCACTGCTGGTCATCAGGGAGCAGCAGTGTTTAATTCCAAACACTCTTCGCACTGTATCAAAACACACACACACAAACACAGCTCTTCTCCCACCACATTCCTCTATAACACCACAGCCAGTCAATATTTTATCTTTATTTTATTTTGTCCGTAACATGAAATGACATCCAGCATAATTTACACTGTATGACAACCATTCCTGTTTGAAACAACTGTCATTTTTTCCATGAACTCCTTTGAATCCTGCAGCCATTTTATTTCCTACTTGTCTCAAGTTACCATTTAACTTAACAAAACTCTTGAGTCTCTTTAAGGTGTGTATTGTTTAAATGTTTCGTTAGGACCTGCTGAATCACACGTTGTTGTTCAACCGTTTGCCTACTGAAATCAGAATCGGAAAAACCATCACAGCCTGTACGTCCGTCACAGATTCCATGCAAACCTCAGTTCAGAATTGGTTGGGAGAAGGAGTTGGGTGAGGGTCTCGGCGTATCAGACGGGTCACTACGTGACTGACTAGGGCGATGTAGTCTGACCTTTTACTGCAGCTACAGGAGTGTGGGCTGTGGGACCCTGGTTATAGAAGGAAATGTCTAAATCGATATAGTCAAGGTTTTTAAATCCTAAAGCAAATATTACGGGAGAAAGTGTCCCGTACCATCTGTAATCAACACTCGCTGTGTTATTGCTATAAGTTCATTAACAGAGGAAGATTATGTTCTTTTTTAACGGTGATGTTAATAAAAAGGGATGCTTGGTAAATCTGTCCTGAGTCCTGTGTTGACTTCTTTGCTGCACTACTTTTACCCTAACACTGAGGGGCAGCAGTGAGCCTTATTTGAATATTCAAACGATGTCATTTCAGGAATTGATCAGATGAGGTCTGATTGAACTGCCATTGTTGTACCTTAATGTCTGTAATGAAGTAACATGCAAATACAATGTTTGTTTGTTAAACTGGTGATTTTACGTTTTTGATCTAATAAGTTTATTTTTATTAAACCGATACCTTGGTATATAAAATAAAAATAATTTGATATTTATTGTTGATCAATCTGTTATTTTTATTACAAAATTGAGAGTATTTTTAGCCTTAAATAGTGGGGACCACACTATAATTTCTTTTCAATCCTCACACATTTGAAATCCAGTCATGGGCTGGGTTAGGCGATTTATTGGGCCAGATTTATCCTGTGGACCGCCAGTTGTTAGTTGCTACCTCCTACTGTGTATTTTAGCTGTAACATTTAGCAAAACTGCTAATGTTTGTCAAAATAAACAAATGTAGCCTACTGTAGGTTTTACCAAAATAACAAGAAATATGCCAAACAATTTCTAGATTTTAGGCCAGATTGTGTTAAGTTGTTTAACGTTACTGAAAAGAATGAGTTAATCTAAAGAAGTAATATCAGACGTACATGAACACCACAAATACAGGATTTGAAGTTACATACAAAGTTGAATTGTGATAATTGGCCCAAAAGTAGTAAAAATGTAGTAGTGTTTTTGAAAATCTAGTCCACTATGTGTTTTTGAACAGGTGAGTGACTCATTTAATTCTTTTTTTTTTTTTTGGAGTGAGTGAGTACAGATGTTATAGAACATTGTTACCCACACACTGGGTCGTGACCCTTAGGTGGGTTGCAAGAGTTGTTTTGTTTTGTTTTGTTTTTGGGGTTTTTTTGGGGTCGTCTCGATATATATATATATACACATCTCCCCCCCTTTGGAAATTGGAGAAATAAAATGTTAAAATTGGAGTATGATTTAGTATATATATATATATATATGAAAGACAATACAAAACATTTCAGTACCTTGGCTGCTACGGATCCGCTACTGATTAATGCATTGTTTTCCTGTATGTTTACTCTTAGCAGTGGCTGCAAATCTTTTTGATGTTAGATTTACATGAGCTGTTGGAATTAAGACACAGACATTATTACATAAAAGTTAGTGTATGTATGTATGTGTAAATTATTCTAGGATAATAAAGTTGTTCTAATAAATAAATGTAACAGCATTTTCTATATTATTTTTTATATTTAAAACTATTATTTTGTTACATCATTTTTTGGTATTAAAGTTCTAAAGCCCTTTATCCAAAATTTGAACAATTTAAAGTTTGAATATGAAATTTCAATAAATTTCGTTCTATCCACATTACAATGACAATAAAGACTATTCCATTCGATTCTATTCTATTCTCTAAAACGCCAATTTGATTCAAATATTTTTAAATTATCCATGCATTAACTTATTAACTCAAATTAACATTATGGGTAACTATATAATAAGGAAAGATAAACTCCCATTGCGTGTTGTACTTTTAAAAAAGACTATATCGGAACACAATGCAGTTTCTGGCTCAAACGGTTTTACGGTAGCCATTGGATATTTACTCTCATTGGCATCAGCCGCCATGTTGGCCACAACAGGAAACAGGAACTTAATATCCGGTTTTCGCAGTAAAAGCATGCACTATACATTTCAGGGTTTCTGTCACTACAGATTCTGTCATTACTAAAGAATTGACAAGATTTTGACATGCGCAGATGATGCCCGCGCGCAAATCCGTCAATTTCAATAGGGGGCGGTTCTCTGTTAGCTTGCTGTTAAAGTCAACTGGACTATTTAGCATATTTGTGGAATTCTTTACCATTATTGAATTTGTAATGTTACATAGCAGCACAGACGAGG